AACTGGACAACCTACATCTGATAAACCGATGGACATACCAGTGGGAAAACCATCTGAACAACCACAGGCAGGGTTTATGAACTTCCTAAAATCTGCAGTAGGAATGGAGGAAACCAAACCAGTTCTCAATAAATTTACTGACACATCTCCAAATCAACAGAGCAAAACTGGCAGCACAAGCTCCTTACCAGGAAGTGCCACTACAAATAAAGAGGCTACAGGAGTTTCAAATATTTTGGGGTCAATCAGTAATCTGTTTAGCACTGAGCCCTCTCAACCACAAAAACAGCAAATCAAACCTAGTATTACAGAGGATTCACTAACATCAGCCTCTCGATCTAAAGGTATTCAGAGACAGCAAACGTTAGACCAAAGTGGCTCATCTAGGCCCATGCAGAGCCTAATCCCAGATAAAAATATATTGGAAGTGTCTACTCAGAGTATCCCTACAGGCTCTGCAGCAAGCCAGTCACAATCTGTGCCGCCTGTTGCACAAACAAAGCAGGAAGCTGAAAGTAAACCATCTGGTGGACTGTTTGGATTTTCAGTTGGAGAAATATTCGGGGGATCAGCAGCATCTAACCAGTCTGGTCCTACTGGTCAACAGGAAGAATCACTTGGTAAAACTATATTTTCAATGTTTACAGGGCCAAATACTCAGCAGACTACAGATAAATCTGGGACATTGTCTCAAACACACCCATCAAGCACACCTTCACAGCCTTCTCAACAGGAAACACTTGGTAAAAGTTTATTATCAAAGTTGTCAGCATCAACTCCTCATGCACCTCCTAACGAAACCAGGCCCAACACTGAGGCGCCACAGGGGGGAACTATCCCTCCAAAGGATCCTCCATCTACAGGGTTCCTTTCAATGTTCGGCAGTCACAGCACCCAACAATCTCAAAATCAAACTGGATCTTTTCTAGGGGGAATTCTTCCTGGGTCATCAAGTTCAGCTGAAAGCCCAATGAAGGGGCTGTTGTCAATGTTTAGTGATCCCAACCCACCACAAACACAGTCATCAACAAGACCATTTCAAGAACGAGTAGTCCAGTCACAAACTCAACAACAAGGGGGACCACAGGCACAATCTAAACCACAAGAACAGCCTCTACCACAAGGACAAACAGCTACCTCTGTTCTTGGGGGTATATTCGGTGGATTGTCTGCCTCTACTGAAAATCCAAGAAAAACATTGTTTTCCGTGTTTAGTGGTCCTAGTTCCCCTCAACCACCAAGAACTGGAGGAGATACAAACATGCCCTACACATCAGGGACTGCAGTCCCAAAAGAACCAACCAAGAGTATGTGTTCTGTTTTTAACAATGTTTTGCCAACACCACAACAGACTCCCAGTTCATCTGCTGCCACCTCTGCCAAAGAGTCGCCAGCTATTCATTCACAACAAAGTTCTTCCCAGATGGCATCTATTTCAAGTGACCATGTCCTCAAAGATGCCCCTTCTAGTGAATTCTCAGGGAACAAATCTGATAGTGACTCCTGTCAAGTGCATGCCGCCCCATCAAGTGATATTACTGTAGTTACCACAAATACTTGTGGTGACTCATTTGAAGCCAGTGATGTTATGTCTAAGCACTCAAATTTAGAATGTGGTGTTGTGCATAAGGAAATGAGCACAGAGAGTGCACCCCAGGATCCTTCTTTTTCTAAAGAACCTTCAGCCTCTGTGATTAGTGGATCAGACCCACATCCTCCATCTTCAACTGGATCTATCTCAGATGAGCCAGGAAAAGGTTTTCTTTCTTTATTTTCTGCACCCAGCACTGAGCCAAGTTCTACCAAAACAGGTCTTTCAACTACAGGGTCTACACCTGGATCATCGGGCCTGAAAGACCAACCAGCCAAGGGGTTATTTTCAGTGTTTGCAAGTTCTGCCCCTCAGCCCTCTTCACAGACTGGAAGTTCTCTGTTAGGGGCAATGTTTGGAGGTTCTTCACCTCAAACACCATCATCTCAAGTGGGAGGATCATTGCTAGGTGGGTTATTTGGAGGGTCTGTACCGCAGACTGCTCCACAAGCTAGTCTCAACAAGACTGGTGGTTCTGTTCCCCAAACTACAGGATCACAGCCAGGGTCATCATTACTTGGAGGCTTATTTGGAGGATCTGCTCCCCAGGCTGCTGGATCCCAGTCTGCTGGGTCTATTTTGGGTGGTATATTTGGTGGTTCAACAGTTTCATCTCTTGTGCAGACTAGTGGGTCCACAGGTGGAGGTTTTGGTGGGGCTGATCAGACTTCCACAACTCAAAATAAAAACTCTATATTTGGAGGGATTTTGGGCAGCTCACCATCTCCAACAGCTGGTGTAGAGACAGGTACATCTCTTCTAGGTAGTATTTTAACTGGTGCTTCTGGTCCCAAGGACACAAGTTTGTTTTCAGTGTTTGGAGGATCAACTTCAGATGCAACAACTACTCCAACATCTAATAATGACAAAATATCAACTACCACTCTTCACAGTACTATATCAACTGTAACTGATCAACAAAAAGCCATTGACAGTAAAACTGTTTCAACTGGTGGTGATACAGGTGAAATTAATACTTTGATCAAAAGCAACAATCAAGTGGAAATCCCAAATACACTTGAGAATAAAGTTCAGCCTCTTGCTGCGAGCTTGTCTAAAGGTGAGGGTAGTCTCATAGAAGAAGTAAGTTGCCAAGATACTGATAAGCAAACTGCTTTATCTGAAAAAAATCAGTCTAAAGAGTTTGAAATGTGTGCATCAACAGAACAAATTGTAAATTCAGAAATTGCAAGTAGTAGTCAGTTGAGTCAAGATACAAAAACATCTAATGCAGAAGAGGAAACGCCATTCCGTCAGTCAGTAAGTTCTTTTCTCCAAGAAAAACCTCCAGTGCCAGACAAGTCAGATACAGTTACTGGCTTCACGTCCACCCTTTTCAAACCAACACCTACACCCACTGAAGGTCAGCAACAGCAAAAGCCTTTTGGATTGGGAGGAACAGCACCCCAACCTTCCTCCAGTCAGACTGGTGCGTCAATACTAGGGGGTATTTTTGGAGGGCCCAGTGCCCAGGCAGCGTCTCCCCAGACAGGTGGATCATTACTTGGAGGCTTATTTAAAGGGTCCGCTCCTCAGTCTGCTACTCAAGCCACTGCTCCCACCACTGGAGGTTCAATATTAGGTGGGATGTTTGGGGGAGGATCCAGTGCCAAATCTGCAGTTCCCCAGAGTGGTGGCTCATTACTGGGTGGAATGTTTGGAGCTTCTGGAGTTACACCTCAGGCTGGTGGTTCTTTGTTTGGAGGAATGTTTGGAGGAACTACTGGTCAGACTGCAGGATCACAAATTGGAGCATCAACTTTACTTGGTGGCATAGGAGGATCTTTGTTTGGGGCTATGGGACAACCACCTAAGCCATCTGAATCTGTGCCAGCTATACCAAAACCAACAGCCAGTGCAATGGGACAACCACCTAAGCCATCTGAATCTGTGCCAGCGGTACCCAAACCAATCACCAGTGCAAATATAATGATGGGCTCAACATTGCAAGATAAAGATCAAGTGAAGCCTGTCAGCTTAATAAATGACAGTGCTGGGGAAACTGAAACAGCTTGTTTAAAAACTTCTACTGTTTCAAGTGCAGCAAAAGACAGTTCTGTCATTCATCAGGTAGTTAACAATGAAAAAGAAAAGCCGGAAGGGGAGGGAGAAGTGATACATGAGAAGCCCATGGTTATTAAAGAGGACCCTGAGAGTAAAGAAAGTGACAAGTCAGTCCCACCTGATGTCACAGAGGCATATGTTAATGTTACTTCACCTCCTAATCAGTTTCCCAACAATGCAGAGCCTTCTCAAGCTAAGTCTTTGTTTGGGTTTATATCAGCACAGAGCAATGCAGTAAAATCTCTTGGATCCCTGATGTCATCAGCACCATCGCTTGCTTCATCATTGTCTCAGACAGAAGGAGGTAGTAGCCTAATTTCAGGGCTGAAAAACCTTTCTGGAGGCGTATTTCAAGAGGAAAAACCTAATACTGAAAAACAAGAGCCATCCACCATTTCATTACTGGGGGAAAATGCAGGTTTTCCTCAGCAGACACAGCCATCCAAATCACAAGCTGTCCCAGTTATAACTTCTAAACTCCAAACTAACAACAGTTCAGCAAGCAATGAGACTGTACAAAAGGTCGAAACAAGTGAAGCCCAAAAAACTGTACCGGTAGGTTCCACAGATGATATAGCAACTCCCCAGATTTGCATCTCCACTCCTGATGTAGATCCTTCAGCATCCCTGACCCCAAAGGAGAAGGAAAGGCTTGTAGAAATTCACCCCTCTGCAGGTCCTAACTCTGGAGTGCAGCTGGACAACCAGTCCAATCTTCTGTTGAATACAAAAAGGCTAGTAAAAGTGCAATAAATGGCATCCTCCCTCCCTGCCCCCATTTGTGAAGTGGGAATTTCAAGAAAAAAAAGTTTTTCCTATTCAGCTTTGCAGTTCGTAATTTCGGTATTTTGTGTCTTTGTCTGTGTTGTTCAGTGTGGCCTTTTTGTGTTTAGTATCTGCAGTATCATTTGTCATTTTAAATCTGAATTCCACAACAATGTTGTATTGAGTTTTAATTTTCTGGCGGAATCTACATTGTACTCAGACATTCTTATTATTATTACTATTATCATTATATTGTTATTATTGTTATACCATTATTCATTTTGCGGTCCCTTTTGTTCTCTCTCTCTCTCTCTCTCTCTCTCTCTCTCTCCCTCCAACTGTTGTTGTGAATTGGGCTATATAAATTTTATGAATTAAGTTGTTTGCAACATTGTCATGGAATTCTGCTTTAATTTGTACACTTTCATGTGTTAAATTTTTTTTTACGTGTACATCTAGTAATCATCATATTTTACGAATCCATTCAGTCTTTTGTAGTGCAAACTTAAAACTATAAAATATTCAGAAATGATATTTCACCATTCTGAATGTTTTCCTCACTCCTTTCTCACCAATGTAGTCCAGTGGAAAGTAGTCGCTTTGGGTCATCAGGAAATCTTAGCCAGACCAGCTCCCAGCTTAGTGAGACTGGCCACGAGAGCACTGGAGGGTCAGAACTGGAGGAGTCCTTCCACTCCTACCATAGTACTGGTTTTCACCCTTCTACCAATGGGCAGCTACGCACAAATGGCACAAATCTCTCCATCAATGGACACTCTGTGGTCAGTGAGCGGGAGATGGATAGGCTGTCCCCTGACAAAAGACAGGACATAAAAAGTGATACTGCAGCAGAGACAGGATCCCCCAAACTCCACAGGTACATTTTTGCTTGTAATTCAAATGTGTGTGATATAATGAAAATGCTTGATAACTGAGAGATTTCCTCTTTCTCTTCTTTTCATCTAATGCTTCAATCCATGTAACCTAGACCTAGTTTCCATGATGATGATGGACCACCATTACCCTTTTCCCAATCCAGACTTCATTGGATGAAGGCCATCACTAAAGTCAGAGTTCAACTGCGGGAGGTATGCAGTATTTTAACTTCAGTTCCTCCAACAATGTTCAATCTGTTATTAACCCTTAATTCCAACTTTCTTCTTTTCCCAGTCCTTGTACACACACAACATTTGCAAGCACGTTCATACATACAATCCTTTGAAACTGGTTGAGTTTAGTCTCTCTGAATGTTCATGCAGATGCACTAAAACGTACTAGAATGATATTACTTCTAGTGAATTGGTGTCCTAATTGCAGGCACATGACTAACAATGTGCTCCTCTGTTAAAACTACCCAGCAAAAGGTTTTATGATCCTCTCTAATTTTTAAGTAGTCTTCATTTTGTAACTTATATGAGACATCTTTGTCTCCTCTCCATCTTATTAAGTCTTAAACGTGGAATTTACTCTCTTCATGGGGTACTCATAATAAGAAATATGGTGTTGATTTTAGGCAGATTACTCACTGCATGAAAAATCTATATCGCATTAATAGATGTTTTGCTCACAAAAGTCCTTACTATGTTCTTCTTCCAAGGATATCTGCTATGTTTGACAAATTCAGGGATAAAAAAAAAAATAGAGATTCTGAAAATCTCCTGAAAGTGATAACTCAAGAAGGACGTCACCAAAGATTTTCAAATAATTACCAAGTGCAGCCGCTAAAAATCTTTGAACTCAGTGATCTTGAACTCAAGGTCAATTTCAGATGTCAACTTTTTTTTTTGAAAATCAACTAAAATTTTACATTTTTACATCTGTTAGAAGGCTGTGGTGTAGCGGTGGCTACCAGTATTTCTTTTTATGTTGTGTTTCTTTTATGTTTTTTATGTTTGTTTCTTTTACTAAACAGTTGTTGTGTATTTTATCAGAATGTGCGAAAACAGAATATATGCAGTGACACATGATCTCCATATACTGTATAGCTTGTAATCAGTATCTTCAGCCCATGTGTTTGTGTTTGTTTGTTTGTTTTTTACAAATCAAATGACCTTTGTTAAAAATGCAATTGTGGCATTATGGAATCAACTGTAATGTGACCAAATATAGGTGCAATCTGCATTACCATTTCTGGAGAATTTTAAGTTTAGATGTTAAATTTAATAATTTAAGACTTTACCGTGTTCATAATGACAGTATTGGGATTTGTTAGTCATAACTATAGTTCATCCTCCCTGACTAAAACTTTAACAGCATGGCAATGAAGGAGCAGGGCATATAGCCCTTGCATGCCATCATTATAATGATGACTTCCATGAAGTGGTTGAGATGAACATGAACTATAAATGAGTGATTGAAGACATGAGTATAAATCAAGGGTGAAAGCTAAGTGCTATTCATTAAATGATGCAAGGAAATACTTGTCACACAAGGCTGCTGGTAAAGATTATAATTAATTAGAATTGGAAAGTTTTCGCGTGGTGTCACAGTGACTAGCATAATGAAAATGCTAGATTTGATACCCTAAAACATATGTGCTTGTTCATTTTCAAAGAAAGGTTTGGAATGAGATTGTAGTAATTTAATCACACTTGACAACAGCAAGGAATCATGGGAGGCAAATCCATAACCCATACTTGATGAGAATATGCTTTAAAGTTTATACACATTATCCTTTGACTCCACAAATTCTCATTTAGTCACTCAGGGATAGTAGTACTGCCAATGTGTTTAGCTTGAATGTTTTGAAGTTTTAAAAACAATACATTTTGACAAATGACTCTTTACAGTGACTGTGATCAGCTAAAAGCTGGTAGTCTTACACCCTCAGATTAGGTTTGCACTGGAATACACTCCCGGAGAACAGTGAGAGAGAGAGAGCTAGTGCAGTGAAAGCATGCAAGAGGGTGGGAGGGATAGCTACTTAACAGAGGGTGAACTGCTGTGTGATCATCTACTTGTGCTGTGCTGGCTATTTCGGTTGTAGAAATCAGGAACTTAGCACATTTTTTTAACTTGAAGGAAGATCTGCTGGTTTGATTGGCACTGAACAATGTTCACCAGTACACCTGGGTAAATATTTTTGTAAAATACAGGGAATTGCTATTACGAGCTGCTGAGCAACCCTCCATGTGGAATTAATCAATTTTATAAGATGGTATCTACAGGTTGTTCGTTCTTTCTGATAAGGTAAGGATTACATTTTATTTAGTATCTTTATGTTAAATATATATTTAACATATACTTTGATTAAAAATATAGATTGTACAAGTTACTGTATGGAAGATGTAGTATTGTAGTGCATAGATACGGAAACATGTTTAGCCAATTAAATGTCAAGAAGGCATCTCTTCTTTCAGTATTCTAAAATCTCACTCATTGATGAGAAGCCAGCTAAGAAAGTCAAAAGCAAGATGCCTTTTTTTTTACTTATTCTTTTTCTTTCTTTTTAATGAAAGCAGTGGATTATTTAATAATGAAAAGGGGAAAAAAAGGGAGACCGCTGAAGATTGACTCACTTGGAATATGGCCCGAACCCCTACCTGCCCCTCAGTTATTATGATCAATCAGTCAATCAATCAATTAATTAGTTAAACATTGATGCAACTTTGTTTGTTTACACATATTCATCAAGTATGTCTAAAACTAACATTAGTTGGTATGTTTGTAAATTAAATATGGCTATTAATAATTATTTTTATGGAATTAATAAAATTGACCAAAAACTGTAATATAGTATAACTGTAATTTTATTGTGAAGCACATTGCTGCCTGTAAATTTAGGATAGGGGGATTCCATTCAGCTGATAAGATCATCAGCTTATTTTCATTCTCAGAGTGGTGACTGAAACAGTCAGTTTTGATTGGCTGATATACGTTTCTACCCACTAAACGCTTATCAGGGTAACACACACCTTCTGTGCTAAAGTGCTTATAGGATACCTCAAGTGCAGGGGTGTGTTAATGTATTTAGCAATTATATTATGCACTCCCTAGATTAGTTTACTTAATAGAATTGGTCATTTGCTTTCCTAAAACTTTGCCAAGGTATAGTTATGTTAGAAAGCAAATTGACTACAAAGGTATTGTAAAATACAGAGAAAGTCCCCAGAAATAAGCTTACTTTAGTCTGAGGCCATCTTAAATGAATATAGTGTGTAGCAACTCTATAAAATGTTTAATTTTCTTGTAATTTATATTTTAGAAGCTAAGGCTTCCTATGGTTTTTTTACCACATATTTAGTCACAGAGATGGAAGAGATACGTGTGAATTTTATTATTATTTTTAAATATAATATTATTTGTATATCATTAATATTATTTTTTTAAAGTAGCATTTACAAATCTTAAAAGAATTATATAGTACACTATTTGTAGAGCTAAGAAATCCTGCTGTGTCCAATTAAAACTCCTTAATTTGAGTTACAAGCAGTATTAAAGCAGGGATGATGAACAGAACTTGACCTTGAAACCACTGCAACATCTTCTACATTTTTGAGAATTTGGTAATTATCTCAGTGAAGAAGACAAAATCACAGAGCTATGGTAAATGCCCTCTGTGAATGAAATAATGCCAGAACCAGATTTATGTTACAGTTGGGGTATTCAGTTGTCATTCCAGTGTGTACCAATGGATCAGAGCTATTAAGCCATGCAGCTGGTAAGGGTGTGTAAGAATGGTATGGCCTCAGAGGAGAGAATTGACCTGTCATCTAATTACTGTGCTGTCTTTCCAAAGCATCCTAATTACAGAGATCTAAGCAGCTGCATGGCGTTCATTCTGGAAGTTGCCACTCTGACTGACTCTCAGTTAAAACAATGTCTATCCAGCATTTGTATTGTGGAGAGTAGTGTAATCTCTCATAGAGGTATCCCATGTATGCTCAAATGCATTCAGCCATCCCATATGGAAAAGATATATATATAAATCTTATGAAGTTTGTATCTGTCTTGTGTGAAACTTGTATGAAAAGCATACAAGAGTGAAAACAGATATAAGATCCCTTGAAAAATTATATAAATGAAACTTGTATGTTTTGGATACTTACTAAAACAATATATGAAAGTAATGAGAAAGTGGCCACTTTCATGAGTAAATCATGTAGGTTTTTACTATTTCTTTTCCATATGGGATGTCTTTAATCCAGAAGGCAAAGGAACTTTCTGTCCTGTGTTTAAAATATTGTGCATAGTCAGAATTAGAACTCCACTGTGGTCTGAGCTAGTGGTCATAAAAAAGTAAAGTTTTATGTGTCTGTGTTTTTCACTTGATGTGTTTTAATAAAAATGGGAAAGATAAATGACTTTCTCATTGGGGGAATTATAAAAAAGAGTTTACATTTAAAATCACTACTTTTAAAATGCATACATTTGCATACTTTATCATTACCTTTCCTGTACTTGTTTTATTTATGTACCTGTGTTTCAGGTAATTGCTGGTAGTAGGGCAAGTTGACAGTTCCAAAGTTCATGTGGTGGTTTTATCATATTTAGCTGCCATCTGATAACAGAGAGCTGGTAGGCATAATAATCACATGGGTTTTCAAAGCTTTTTCAACAAAATAACTTACTTGCAGATACTTACTCATATGCAGGTTAAGATGCTGGCTTATACTTGACCCATCTTAAGGAGGAGTCACAGAGGCAGTGATATCTCCATGTGTAGGAACAGTTGATCACAAGTGCCAATTCTCAGGGATGTTTCCCAGAGGACACGTCAGTGGAGAGGATGAACCCCATGAACTGGAGCCAGTTCCACTCTCACCCAAGAAGAGTGAGCTGCAGAAGAAAAAAAAACAGCTCCCCAATGTAGGGCAAAGTCTCTGTAAAAAGCTACAGAAGTGTCTACAGGCACCAGAAGATAATTCATTTCATGACCAGATATCAGTCAGCAAAACAATAACCAAAGCTAACCCCACCATATCTGAGAAAGACAGAAATTCTGATTGCCAAGATGGCAGTGAAGTTGTGGAGGCTTCTATCCCCAAGATTCTTGAAAGAATCACAAATGAGGAATGGAGGCAGAAGATGGAGGATGAGGAAGCAGAACATAGTAACGTAGTGGAGCATATCCTGAAGGAGCTGAAAGGAATCAATAAGATCCAAGAGGAAATTTCTGATCTGAGGCAGTATCTAACGTCTGTGCGAGGCTCAGTGGATGAAGTATCGTGTTGTGTCGATGCAGTGCTCAGTGAAATAGGTGAGCTATATTCCGGTGCTTCAGCTGTAATGCATCCTAGCCCTGTTTCTCAAACACGTCACACCAGGCATGGAAGTCTGGATAGGCAGAATGCAATCTCTTCTCCTCACACAGGTGATCCCAATCCTTTGCTGGACTGCAATGATTATGGAAGAGATTCAGGATATGTATCATCACATAGATCCCCCAAACAATGGCATGATCAAGCCACTTGCAGAACAGTCCATCAAAAAGATCAAGAGTACCTGGAGCTTCACTGTGACCAAAACTACCAAAGTACTAGCTCATTGTCATCATGTCAGAGCTCCAATTGTCCAGAGGCAGCCTTTCTTCCTGGTGACACGGAGTATAGCAGATGGCCAACTGCTGATATTCAGCACAGTATTAGTAGAGAAGGTGGTTGGAGTGAGGAGGATGTTTCCTCTTGTGCAAACAGTGGAGAAGAGCTTGAGAGCTTTCTAGGAGTTTGGAACAGACGTGCAAGAGAGGACACACAAAGCAGCACACCAGGTCATTCTTCTCACAACAGTTCAGAGCACCTCTCATTGTTGTTTGGAACCCATTATAATTCACCTTCAAGTTCTTCCAGTCAGGTGGACTGGAGGCCTCTGAGACAGCAAGCTGAGGGAGAAAACTTGGAGTGCGACTGTGCTGCAAACTGTCCATTTTCACGTAGTTCTGGATACCACACCACAGATGCCTGTGCGAATGAACTTGAGAGTGGGCCCTCTTGGAGCTTGAGCTGTTCCACTGTGTTGTTGACAGACTGTGATGATGGTTATTTAGAGCCACATTCACCATGTGATTATTGCCCGTCATCTGGGGACACTCTCGATCTCGGTTCTGCTGAGAGTTTGGACAGAGAGTGGACAGATCACAGCATTTCCAGGGAGGATGTAGGAGAAACATTGTCACCTGAGTCACCTGAAATAGATTCTGAAAGCACACCCAGGACTGCTGACGTAGGTTTTGATGCAACAAGTTTTAGCAAGGCTGTACTCACGGTCAGGTCAGCCTTAAAAGGGGCTTTCAAAAAGTTGGAAGGTTTGAATACCGAAGATGAAAAAGATGATAGTGGTACAGAGGCACCGCCATCCTTGGGTAAACAAATTTCTGAACCTGAGGATGAGCATATCACTGTAGATTATACAGTGGGAGAGATTAGCCTTACAGAGAATTATCCTCACTTTGCCACCTCAAAGGAGGACAGTGATCCTTCAGTCTACATGGATTGTCTTGAGATGCACGAGAATCTATCATGCTCCCTTCAAGCATCTCCACATAAAGCAAGCCCCTCTCCTGGAACTCCAACAGAATATCACTCTGTAGAGATTTCACAAGGAAAAGAAGACTATTCAACAGATGAAGAACTGTCCAAGTTTGATATAACGCCTGACCACCAGTGTGCAACAAGGCAGGATGAGAGTCCACTGAGTCCAGTTCGTAACCAAGATGAGGTGCGCTTAAGTCCCATAAGGGAAAACCATGTTCTTCATGAAGAAAATCAAGAAACTGATGAAAAGCAAGGCAGGCTAACTGATGCCAGTCACAGAGCACGTATAGAGAATTTCCAACGTATTCTAAGAGAAAAGAGGCAAACCCGTCATAGACTGTCCAAATCTGCACAGGGATCCCAGGGTTCTCAAGGCTCTCAAGGGTCCCAAGGATCTCAGTCTCAAGACGAGTTTGTATCAGGTATTTTATTTATTTATTTATTTATTGCATATATACCACTTGCAAGCCTGGTAATAACAGCAAAAATCAAATCTTTATTTTTGTAGTGAACTAAATGCATTTCCTTTAGTTACAAAATTGTTTGACTTTGCTCATGTACAGCTACTCAACTTGATTTATAATGCTACTTGTATTTTGTTTTGTTTTGTTTTTGCAGACTGTTGGAGAGACGATAATCAGGTTACTTGAAATATATTAGCTCCATGTTCAAGCTACATTATTTTGTGTTTGTTCAGTTTGTTTATTTATTTATTTGTGCATCCCCCAACACAGTACCGTTCTTACTTTTCTTATCAACATAAATACTTGTTGTTTCCAAAGCATAATGTTCTAAATACACATTATATATGGTATTGACTGCATAGATGTGTAATTTTTAGTCTGAAAGTATTATTGACATTCTAGATGAGACATTTGCCTGATAACTTTAGTTAATCTGTTACAGAATAATTTACCAGGAGCTTGCTGTAACTTTACAATGTTTTTTGTGTTAGTTCTTGTGTCGCGTTCTGTTTTCCCCTTCATAATATTTTCAAACACTATCAAAATCTATTAGAAAGAACCCCAGAGGAAACTCCACTGTCAACTAAATAAATGAAAAAGGAAAAATTTATACTTGTAGGAAGAAATAAAAAAAGGCCTTCTATACATGTTTAATCACCCAGACAAAAATTTTGTGGTCGTGCTTTTGTCCTATTTGGAAATAAAATGTATTCTATAGTTTTGCATCTACATACTGTGATCGTGGTCCACACTTTAATTTCACTTAACCTAATTAAAGAGTTCAGCAACATTCATTTTAGTCCCATCTTTTAATTAATTAATTATTTTTATTGTTTGTTTGTTTTTTAATTTGCATGTGACATCAGAGAGGTCAAACTCAACCAAGCCTGTTTCCACAAACACCACTCCTCTCATAACATAGTTCTTTATGTCTTTGTAAGCCACTAGCCTAAATTCTCACATTTAAAATACTTACAGGTCAGAGATGTTGAACCCAGTACTCGACAGGCATGGGTCAAAACAGGGTAAGTTATACATAGTGTTGTATTGGTGAAGTTTGGTTAGATTAAATAAATTTGTATTTTAAACCTAAATAAAAACTGTTTTGCTTGTTCTGTAGTGGAGGCTCTGGTCTGTATGGAATTGACAGTATGCCGGACCTACGTAAAAAGAAGCCTATCCCATTGGTCAGCGATGTGGTCAGTACTCACCTATTGTTTATTCTCCTATATATACACCGTATTTTGTATCTCATTCAGTTTGTTTTGTTCTTTACTTGTGTTTCTGTAAATGAGACCAGTACAACAATAGTTTTTGTTTGTTTGTTAGTTTTTCTTTAACACTGAATTTGGGATGGAGTTGTTTCAAAGAATGGAGACAAATATGAAATCAGCCTGCTAATGTCTCTCTCCCTCCTCTCTTAAACCCAAAATTATTCCCCACAACTCTCTTGAATGCATTCACTCTCCTTGGTCAGGCTATGGTAAGTTATAGAACCTAGTTGACACTCCCTTTTCTACTGAAGTACAAAATAAACTAGGACAGATAACAGTAGTTACCAGACATAGCATGTTGATCTCTGCCATACTTCCTGTTTATTACAATTTAAGACATTTGCATGTGTCCTTTGGTCCTGGGTTACTTTTCTTTCTATTCAACATTCCCATCAAAATACATTGCCAACAGGTCATTCCCTCACCTTTTGGTTAACGTTGTTTTTCTTCTTTTTGATCAAATTGACTGGATAGAATAAACTACTAACAAAGGCCTGTCTATGTTTTATAATGTTGACTTTGGGCTAACTTGCTTGGTACTAATAATACTCACATGGGTTCTCACCATATGGTAAGTGTTCATCAAGTTCATAGAATAAGGATAATAACAATTCTATTAACCACCTTTATAACTAACCCCTCAAACCTTTTAACCATATTGACTTTTATTGCTGCAGAACTGTTTTACAGTTTGCTTGGTTGTGGGTTGTTTTGACTTTGTACACAAACTTTGCTGATTTTTTTTCCTTTGTATTTGTCATGTGTTGTTCAGTCCCTTGTCCAAGCCAGGAAGGCAGGGATCGCATCTGCAATGGCTGCTCGATCATCAATTAAGGATGAGGAGCTGGTGAGTATGCAAAAATAAATAAATAAAAATCTTCTGCTTTGCATTTTGGTTATTGTTTCAAAAACTTCCCAGTGACACAGTTTTCATGGTTGTGACTCCATCGGTCTTTCAGCATAAGCACGTCCTTATAACTGATAAGGGGTTTTTTTTGTTTCCCTGGATTAGGACTTTTAAAAATAGATCTTCTTCCTTCTGTAGAAAAATCATGTCTACAAGAAGACCCTGCAGGCTCTTATCTACCCCATATCTTGCACCACACCACATAACTTCGAGGTGTGGACAGCGACTACACCTACATACTGCTATGAGTGTGAGGGGCTCCTGTGGGGAATCGCCCGGCAAGGCATGCGTTGTTCTGAATGTGGTGTCAAGTGCCATGAAAAGTGCCAAGAATTACTGAATGCTGACTGTCTGCAGCGTGAGTACTAAGGAAATGTTTCACAGAAGTTTCAAATGACATTTTTACGTTATCGGGAAGCTGTTGCATTAAAATTTTGTCTCAAGTGTTTAAGAATATTTTCCCCACATTAAAAATCGTTTTTATTTAACTTGTAACCACTGAAGTGGCATATGTATATTTTTTAGTTTCAAGTCGGTCTGTTTTTTTCATTTTTTTTAATAAATATTTAGGTGCGGCAGAGAAGAGCTCTAAGCATGGAGCTGAAGACCGCACTCAAAATATCATCATGGCCATGAAGGACAGGATGAAGATCAGGGAAAGGAACAAACCAGAAATCTTTGAGCTGATCAGGGAAGTGTTTGTCATCAGCAAAGCCATCCATGCACAGCAGATGAAAACCATCAAACAAAGCGTATTGGACGGGACGTCAAAGTGGTCAGCCAAGATCACAATCACAGGTATTTTACCATCACAGCTTAACAACAACTTTGGAGCTATGTTACATGTGCTCTTTGTAATTTTTTATTGTTTCTTATGTCTTGGTTAGTTGTTTGTGCACAAGGACTTCAGGCAAAAGACAAGACAGGATCCAGTGATCCGTATGTCACTGTTCAGGTGGGCAAGACCAAGAAGAGAACAAAGACCATCTATGGAAACCTCAATCCAGTCTGGGAGGAAAAGTTCCATTTGTGAGTCGTTTCTTGGTTATGAAATCAAAAAAGTTGGTGGTGGGGGGGGGGGGTTTGTTCCTTGAGTGCTTGTTATCAGTAGTGGGTATAAGTGCTCACCTTAATTACTCCCTTGTAGTATCTATCATCTTGTAACTTAATATTATTTAGTTTATGTTTCTTTTTTGTTCCTTTTTTTGTTTTGTTTTGTTAGTGAGTGCCACAATTCCTCAGACCGAATCAAAGTGCGAGTGTGGGATGAAGATGATGACATCAAGTCCAGAGTGAAGCAGCGTCTGAAGAGGGAATCTGACGATTTCCTGGGACAGAGCATCATTGAAGTCCGAACGCTGAGCGGAGAAATGGATGTCTGGTATAACCTGGGTCAGTTGGCTTTCTTGTCTTTTTGTAATAGACATCATGAAGAAAACTGTATAGTATATGCGGAGGGGAGGCAGCGTCACAGAAGGCCCAGTGTAAGTGGTCATAATGGGTCCTCGACAGCGCAATCTGAGTGGTAGTGTGAATATGACTTTCAAGTAAAGCTCAGCTAAATTTATTTATGTATTTATCTTTTTTGTTAAATGCATCAATATCTACTAAAACTCCCAATATCTACTCCCAATCTTTTGGTCACACCTTGTATCATGTTACCATGCCTGTTTTACTTTCTAGATAATACAAGCCTTTCTACAATAACCTGGATCTCATCTGCTTGTTACATCAATTTCACATCTGTATGTTTTTGTTTGGCACTAAAAGCCTTGCTTTCAGCAAGTCCAGTCAGTTGTTTGTACCTCATTAGTCACATCTCCTTTCCCTGCAGCAAACATATTTATACCCAGGCTTGTTGCTTCCTTAAGGCCTGTGTTGGTCTGCATAAAAATACTAGCTTATTTGATTACATTTTAAATGAGTTTCTCCCTGCTAGCAAGAAGTTGTGAGGAAAAAGTTTCACGATAATCCCCCAGTTCTATCCCTAGGGTGTGCAGGGAGTTTCATTAGGATGATGCCTGAACAAAATAATTAACAAGTATACAGGATCTGATTTGTCAGGCCTGTGTGCTAGTCTACATGAGCACTAGTTGTGCAGCATGAATATATGTAGCTTGAATACCTCTCAGGATAAAATCTAATCCCTGTCTTGTGGGCAAACAAATGTTGTCTTTAGAATAATATTTCTGAATTACTGTCTCTGCGTCTTCGTATCTCTTCATATGTTGTATGTAAGGGTGAGGTGTTCACTTTTCTTAAGCACATTTTTTTGTTCATACTTGATTAAAGTGCTAAAATTTACCTGACAGCAGCAGTAATAAATCTTCGAGTGCAACAACCTGTCACTGAATATGAATGTGCCCATAAATCTACCATTGTTGTTGTTTTGTGTGGGGGTTTTTTTGTTTTGTTTTTTTTTTAAGCTGGGAGATTTGACTTGCTTGGTTTAATATCTCCCTGAAAACTGTATGATCAAATATTTATTTTGATAGGTTTTATTATGAATTGGATTTGAATGCTTAATTAATGATTAATGATGTAATATACCTAGTTCATGAGAGAAAGGGGGGAAAAAAACAAAACATTTTCACTATCTCTTTCTCCCTCCCTCTCTGACTCTCTTCCTTTCACCTCCTGATATGTGATTATCAAGTAGCAGCACTCCAGTCGGAAATCGACCACTCTAGCGACATGTACAAATTACCCTGAATGATTTGCCTGTCAGGGCAAATAGCAGGGGTGAGCCGCCAAGAACTCCACCTCCAGAAACGCTCTAGCTCAAATGTCTTCTGTTATCAGGCACAGACCCATGCAGCCCATTGCCTTTGTTACACTCACTATCAGCTGGAGGACTTCTATTAGCATCGCTGACTCTGGACGACCATTAAACTGTAGAAACAGAAGCCCTTACAATAGAATTGCCACACTAATAGATTAGGGTTGTGTTAACAGACCTAGTTTAGAGTGCTTTTGGTGTCACAGATTTGGACTCAAGTTATGAATCAAGACATTCCCGATGTGCATCTGATTGACTGTTTTGTACTTAAATACAGAGAAGAGGACAGATAAATCAGCTGTGTCTGGTGCCATTCGCCTCCAAATCAACGTGGAGATCAAAGGAGAGGAGAAAGTGGCTCCATATCACGTGCAGTACACTTGTTTGCATGAGGTATATGATTCTGCAGAAACACGATTAATTACCTAGACACGCTGGATATTCAGCAACTTCTCCACACAAAGGGTTTGCGTAAGTGGTTGCAACTGCTATTGTAGCTGTTGCAATGTGTTGCACAGATTGACTGCAGACGAGATAGATTTGGACAGGATTAAAGGCACAGTGATATTTCCATAATCCAACCTCTTCCCTGAAAAAAACAAATCAAATTTTGAATCAGGGCTAAAGGACCTGTGCTTATGAAACTGAAAATCCTATAATCTGTCAAACCAAAGGTTTTCAAGTCTGTATTCTACACACATCCAGTAAAAATAATATTAAGCGTAAATTGCAACAATCTCATCATATTTGTTTCAGTAAAAAGCCTCCATAACTTTACCACCACTTCTCATGCTTTAGTGTTATCTCTGAAGTTCATGTGAATTAGATCAACTCTGTCCATTTCTTTCCATTACAGAACTTGTTCCATCATTCAACTGATGTACTTGGTCAAGGTGTGGTAAAAATTCCAGAGGCTCGTGGAGACGATTCTTGGAAAGTCTACTTTGATGATGTGGGACAGGAAGTAGTGGATGAGTTTGCCATGCGCTATGGGATTGAGTCCATCTACCAGGCCATGACGTGAGTCTAAAAAAACACAGTGAATTGGACTGTCTTCTTACCTGTCAATATGTGTTACCTCTTTATTCCCCATGTTCCTTTCCCTGCCTTTTGAGGTCATATCAATAAACCTCTTGGTGCCATTGTCATTCTCTGGCCTTCAGATGAGGTACAGTCAATTATAAACAGGGTAAGGATGGATGTGTCTCACTGCAGTGTCATCATCCATACAGATGACTGTTAGCTAGGTCAATCATTCGCAGAAAAATGCTTCAGTGGGCTATTATTCAGTCTAAATGTGTCAGGTAGGTGATGGGCAGATAGCACGACAATTCCTAATAGAAATTGTCATGTGAAAACAAGAGCCTGTAGTACATACAGACTGTCCAAATAAAGGTATTTGAACTGGATGCTGACATTATTGCAACAAAGTGTAAGCATGTACACATTGGGGAAGAAGTCTTAAGGCCTCCCACCCAAGTACTTACCAAGCTTTGCATCTGCTACTCTATGCAGGCACTTTGCCTGTCTGTCTTCTAAGTACATGTGTCCTGGAGTCCCTGCAGTGATGAGCACCCTGCTGGCCAATATCAATGCCTTCTACGCCCACACAACAGCCTCCACCAATGTTTCCGCCTCTGACCGCTTTGCTGCTTCTAATTTTGGGGTTTGTACTACTGACACACACACAGACACAGTAAAGTACTTTGTTGTTTTTCCTCTTCCTTTCTTCACTATTGCATTTTATGCACAAATACATTGCCAGACTTCTTTCTAATATAGGAACATGTTTTTTCCCCTTTTCTTCCCATACAGAAAGAACGCTTTGTCAAGCTCTTAGACCAGCTGCACAACTCCTTACGCATTGACCTTTCTAGTTATAGGGTGAGATTCTTGTATCACTACTAGTGTCTTGTTTTCTAAATGTACATGTCTAATATTTTTGTGCCAGTAAAAAAACAAAAAAAAGTATTTTTTCATCATCTGATCAATGAATATTTTTTGTGCAAATTGTACCAACAGTCTTTGAAAGTGTGAAAAGTCTTGTAAACTAAACGTGTTTTTCTTCTTTAGAATCACTTCCCTGCCAGCAGCAAGGATCGCCTGCAAGATCTGAAATCCACTGTGGACCTTCTAACCAGCATTACCTTTTTCAGGATGAAGGTAGGTAACATTGCGTATGCTTTATCTGTAGTTCAGCTTTGTAGTATCTTCTTATCAGTCTGTTGACTTGAATGTTTTTTCCCTTTAAGTTGTTGCCAGATATTGACAAGTTGATAAAATATCCGTTGTTTGCAGTCATCTACTGACTCTGTAGCTATCTTCATCTTCTTTCCAGGTCCAGGAGTTACAGTCTCCGCCCAGAGCCAGTCAAGTTGTGAGGGATTGTGTCAAAGCTTGCCTCAACTCTACATATGACTACATTTTCAATAACTGCCACGAGCTGTACAGCAGACAGTACCAGCTTGTGGACACGGTGAGTCACACAGCTGCAGGATACAATGTGCAGCTATCAGACTCTGTAGCAGCAGGCCGGTGAATAAATGTTTCAATAAAGTGGCGACTATAATGTTAACTGTTTTCATTTTGTTTTTTATTCAGAACAAGGAGGAGCTTCCTCTGGAGGAGCAGGGTCCAAGCATTAAGAATCTGGACTTCTGGCCCAAACTCATCATGCTCATTGTTTCCATCATTGAAGAAGACAGAAACTCCTACACACCTGTACTGAACCAGTGAGTCATGCAACTCTACTCCTAAAATATTCAAGCCGCTTGAATACATCAAAATCAGGTCTCCTTATTTTTAGGTTTTACTTCAACTACAGTAGTTCAACAAAATGTTTTGCTTGATTCTTTTTCCAGAGGTCTAGGACATTTTTATGGATGCTTCCATTAAACTCAGGAATCGACTAGGTTTCACCTTGTCACATCTTCCCATCTCTTTCAGGTTCCCTCAAGAACTTAATGTAGGAAAGGTGTCAGCAGAGGTCATGTGGACATTGTTTGCACAGGACATGAAGTATGCTATGGAAGGTAGGTCTTGGTATTCTGGACTCTTTATAAGATTATTCTGCTGGGTTAGACTGTGGAGGTGCACTGTAGTTTGTCTGCTAGAAGTAAAGGAAAAAAGCTGGAGAGTCAGGGTGTGAGAACAAGCATATGAGAAAAGAAGCTCTGGAAACCTAAAATGACCAGAAGGGGAGAGGAAATACTGGGGTAGCAATGGCACAATGGAACAGAAGAAGTTGGAGAGAATATAATAAATGTGCTGGGATTGAAAGCTGCTTATGTGTCCCTGGAGCCTCTCTGCACTTTTTCTCTATTATACTGTACTCCACAGCGCTATTGGTGTTCAGAGACACTTGGTTTTTATTCTAGCCCTTGTCCTCAAAATGAATCCCCTACAGAGACTAGTGTGAAATATCTGTTTCACAAAATGCATCAAAACACACAAGTGGCGCCTTCTTTATTTTCAATCTGAATAAACATGAAAAGTTTATAGATGGAGAGTTTGCTACAGAGACAAAAACACTGAGTGCTTACGATTCAAAGCTCTAGATGTTATTTTTAAGCATGTCAATAAAAAAGAACCTGCATCTGCTCATTTTAAGGCTAATCAATATTTTGTAAACATTTTTTTTAAAGTTCTCACAGTCTTTGATTGTATTACTACCTTGTATCTGTGTAGCTGCAGTTCAAGCAGGCCACGCCATTGCTTGATATTTATACATCTCATCTCAGAAAAAACATTCAAAGCGAATAAAGCAAAGACTTTTAGAATTTAGTCACACCACATTCTACAGTGAGCAAATACATAAAATGGGATTAGTGTGTGTGTTCTTTCGTCTTTGTTGAGCATTAGGCCGTCAGAGAACATGTTTCCCAAAGAAAGCTTTTGGATTAGTCCGAATTTTTTTTTTCTTTAATAAGAGGATACTGTAGAATTATTTCACAAGTTCATTCAGAATTTAAGTGAAGAACAACGACATACACTAGAATTTAGAAACGATTTCATGTTAAGGTGTTGTT